GGCATGTCTAGAACAATTCTTACAAGTATAACACGACGTAGCTGGGTGCCGCGGACAGACGCCGAACGGCGCCGCCGGTGTGCCTACACTCATAGAAAATAAAGTATTTGAATTTTAAAGACGTGGCGCGACGCGACGCTTCTCGTCCAGTGCGCGACCGCCTGAAACGCTGTTTTTTTTCACCTCCGTGCCCAAACGCCTTTGTTTGGACTTCCGAAAGCGGATGATGTCAGGAAACAGTGGTTGCAATTTATTTTTTAACTCTGTTCCTGAGCATTATAACCCCAATTTGCTATTGTGTGCTGCGCATTTTACTGAGGACAGCTTCCACAACATGAGGGAGTACAGTGTTATATTAATAATGTAAATTATGTGAAAAATAATGCGTTTTTCGAACCACCAAGCATGAGAGCATGTTCTAGTACACCTCCAAAACAAAATCAAGACTTTGTAAAAGAGCATAATAGGACCCCTTTAAATGTCAGATTGGGGTGAAAACCTGCTCCATCTAAGGTCAGTTTTGAGACAAATAATATATGAAAAGGAATGATGCCAAAGTGCTCAAGACATTTATTTCAAAAATCAGCCCCTCATTTTCTAGCAGTAACCAAATGTTTAAGGAAAACAGCTGATAAGAATAAACATAGGAAATCATCTCACTACTATATTGAGAGGTGTTGTATGTACTGTATATATTTGTTGCTTTATATCTTGTTTCTTTAACATGCAGCACCAGCAGTGGCGTCTTCCAGGAGCGGCTTGTGAAGTTCTGGATCCTCCACAGACTGCAAAACCACAAACAATCATGAACACACAGAGCAGCTCTCTGAAACTCTCACGATCAGTGGATCTGACTGATTGATTGTTGTAATAGTGCTGAGGATTCAGTACCTTTGCTTCTTCATCCTTCTTGCACAAAGCTTTTCCAGTCAAAACACAGAAACTGATGGTCACACAGAGCTGAAGGACAGACAGCACTATCATCATGATATCTAGTCCTCCGAGCATCATCTAGAGGTGGGTAAAGATCAGAGTGCAATTTGAGGAAAGTAATGGTCAATAAGGTCTATAAGAAATACAGTACGAACATCAGCTCTAATCCAATCTGAAATAATATAATTAAAGAACCCTCCCCGTTTTTGATCCAGAGTAATACTGCTCTGATTGAATTATAAATGATACAATCCTATAGTTACATATTTTTTAAATATTACCTCCTTACCCACTTGAAGTATAACTTAATACTTTTACAAAAGATTAGATTCATTTAGTAACTTTAAAGTACCAATATCTTGTGAAACCACACACTAAAATAGCTTCCCCAACTTTGGTCTTTTGATCTTACACAATCTAATAAATAAAACAAATCAAACCATTACATTATTGAGATGCTTGTACTGCACACAGATCTCGGTGTTCCTCATCTGTTCAGGGGAAGGTGTTACAGCATAGCTGTTAGACGAGTAATAATTAGTGTCACAGTATTGACCACTTCCAGTTGCCAGGTCCACTGAATACAGCACAGCAGCTGTGATAGCTAGTGCAGCACTGACTACATTCAGAACCACTGTGATGACCAGCTGTAAAACACAAACAATATAAACTGGTGATGCTCAACATAACTTCCACAAACACTGATAAAGTGTATGATACGTACCAGAAAAGGACTGGGAAACTTAGCTGCAAGAATAGTCACGATTCCAACTACAAGGACCTAAAAAGAAAACAATTAAAAACCTCTGTGCGTCCAAACATAGTCACTGAAATGAAAAGTGTAAATTAGGTTTTGTGACCCATCTTTATTTTATCCTAAACAAAACCATCAAAATGCATCACATCTGTCGACATAAAACACTAGCAAATCAAATTCTATGAAATTACATGAATAAAAAGTCCTACCTGCCCCCCAAAAAGTAAAAGCAATATATGAGTCAATAGCAGAACACTAATTTATTACCAGGATATATGTTCTTTATAAATAAAAGAAAATACAATTCAAACAATGACTTGAATATGCTTTTAAAATGTATTTTGATGCTTTTGTGCCACTTTGTGCCACATACTCAGATGATGTAAATAAAGAAAAAAACATTATTTAAAACTTATCAAACCATTAATAAAATGTTACCATTTCTTAATATAGTTATTTTTAAAAAGTTATGACTTTCAAATTTAGCAAAAAATAAATAAATTGTTACTACGTGTGTGTATTTCCCGCTTTTTTTGAAAACGATTAAGATACGTACACTCACATGTAAAGAAAGTATTTTAGACATTTTTTTCAAAAACATGACACTTCAAAAGTATTTGCACATGCATTTTACAGTATATTTCTCTCTTCTCATCCTTTCAAACATATTTGTAACAGACAGATTTAATTTTAATAAGATTTAATAAGACTCACTCATTACACATGTAATGGTTTAGAAACATAAGAATGAGCAGAATAAGACAAATTCTTACCACACCACCGATCCAGAAAGCAACCCCAAAATCTGCAAGGTTGCCCCTTGTCCAAGGGCTGTTAAGCAAAATCCCAAACACAATATTGATGACGCCAACTATTATCTGCATAGTCTATGGATAAAAACAAACAAAAGTTTTTTGTTCATACACCTCAAAAATGAAAAATCAACTTAAAATGTCAGAAGTCTTCTAATGAAAGTATTTAAAAAAACAGTTGTTTAATTCACCCCAAGAGCAGTGTGGATGTTCATCAGCTTCCCTTTCATATTCTGAGACACAGAACAGACTGGACTGTAGCACAGAAAACCCAGAATCTGACACAGTACGGGCCATTTGCTCTTCGGGCTTGAGGCGATGGTGATGACCGTCAAACCCTCACCTTGAGACACTGTCAGAGACATGCTGCAGACTTCAGCCTTCCAACAGGTGATAAAGGCCAAACGTCCTGTGTAAAGACAAGCAAATTACCATTTATCACATTTTGTATAAACACATCAAGACATTAAATCAAGCTTTAGAGGAGAAACAAACAAAGCCAAAAAGCCTTGACACTGCTATTGAAATAGCAGGGGGATGGAAACCCCCCCCGCTATGTCGTCATTTGTTAACTGAACTGTGTCTTTTTTGTCCTTGGCAATAGGAATTTCTTCAAAAAGGAAAGCAAAAGGATTTCTTAATAGAAATCCTTCCCAAACATTCTAGAATAAATTTGACTATTGACAGGGTATTGATGGCGGAAGTTTTCCTTTCGACCAAAATAAAAAGAAAACGGTGTCTAAACATCTACCAGTGACGCCGAATTTACACTTTTGCAATATTACATATTTCAGAAGGCTTTTAAGAAACAACTCAGACTTACCCTGTGACTAACAGTCCAGAGTTCAGTCAGATTTCAGGAAAATGTCAAACTTTTTTCAAAACAGCAGAAAAGCACGACAATTGATAAGGCCCAAAACAGCGACGTCAGTTAATGAATCGTTCGTTTGATTCGGATATTTTCAAAGAATCTTCTGATCCAGTTCACAAAACAGAATGCAGCCAAAGATTCATTAACGAATCAGACTGAATCAGTTCGAGCGGTTCTCACAACAGGGACTCACTGAACCATAAACCGTCTCCTTCAGACAGTCTGAATAAGTAAAGAGTTATTATTTACTAATAAGTAAAGAACGATTCCTACATATTATTTTAACAGATAAATAAACCTTTTTTATCATTGTGAATACAAATTATATTTATGTTCTTATGCAATGCAGCATGATGTCACAGACATTGTGTAACGCACCGTAACGCATTGCGCGATCACTGCAAGGAATCACTGAATCGATTATGTAAACCGGTTCTTTAAAATGAACTGTTCAAAAGGAATGAGCCAACCTCTCGTTTTCCCGTCATAAGGCGGAGCTGTTTTAATTCCTGACACTGTTATTAAACAGATATCCTTCTTGCTTATACTGAACTCAGGTGTTCTAATCTACAGTAACATTAAAAGCACAATATCGGTAACAACAAACATAAAACCTGAAAATAATATTAAAAAATACTTATAGCACAAAAGGTTTTAGGCTATATGAATTTCAAAGGACCTTTAGACACCCACTTACCTTTACCTGCCTTTGAACACTTTAGTTCAAGCTTCTGTGTGGCAGCCTTGGCACTTTAATTTATAAAGCAATTTAATTTATTAAGCATTTATCTGATGGCTCTGTTCTGCTTTTACACTTTGGACAGCAGCTGACTTGTATGTGATACATGCCACCTGGTGGTAAAACCACGCAACCCTCTTCAGACATAATGTATAGCCCTTTCTTTTCTTTTTGTTTTAGATTGGCGTTTATCCTAATTTAGGTTAAAAACAGAAGTTCGTTGATTTTCATGTCCCTAAAAAAATAGTCAATGGGGACCATCAACTGTTTGATTACCAGCATTCTTCAAAATATCTTCGTTTATGTTCAACATAAGAAAGAAACTCATACAAGTTTGGTACGACATGAGGGTGAGTAAATTATGACAAAATGTCATTTTTGGGTGAACTATCCCTTTAAATCTATAAATGCAAACTACCAGATTTCACATTATTACAAATTAAAATTTGTAATTGTAATTTTTAACATTGAAAATACACACATTCAAATTATCCTATCAAATCATATAAACAAGCAAATAAATAAATAAACCCAGTAGATGATAGATAGATAGATAGATAGATAGATAGATAGATATTAAAATTAAAATAGATAGACTGACTAAATAATATGTGTGCCAGTGTCCCCTTTTGACCAGAGCATGTAACTTCAATGAGCTTTCTGCCTGTTCTATGGCTATGTTGACTGCCCATTTACGGCCTGATCTTGCTGTGATGCATGCTTGTTTTACCCGAACGTCTTTGGAATCCTCAGGCTTAGTGTGACTGTGCATTTTTCCACCTTGAATTCCTCCACGACAGATGACAGAGGGAGCTGTCCTGATTGGATATAGAGACCCACCGAAGAGAAGCTTAGGGGAATCCCCAACCACCTCAGCAGGTGCTTGTTGATTTTCTCTCAATGCCTTCTACAGCTGTTAAGGGGAACTCATAGACTGTAAGCGAGCCAAATAAGCCTGGGCAGAAGGCCATGCTGGTGCAGCCACTAGGCTTATTTGAATTTTCAGGGGAGTCCAGGCCTGTCGATCTTCTTCAACCATTCTTCGGCTTGCTTCATTAGCACCATCTTTCAGCGATGCATTAAACCACTTTCCCAAGCACTTTATAGGGCTGTCCTCAATGGATGGAATGACCTCGCCTCGAATTTAGAGGAACAACTAGTCAGCAGCGCTGTTAATACCCAAACCCTGTCAACAGCAAGTCTTGTCTGGTATCCAAAAATACCCAAAACGGGTGTTTAACAGTCTTCTGTCAGTCAAGAAATTGACAGAGGAAAGCCAGAGAAGAGCAGAAGCAGGAGACGAAGTGATGATGGTAAAAAAGTAACAGAGTTTACTGAACAATCTTAGTTGCATATGTCTCAATGTTCAAACTTCGTCTGACCAGCACAAATTCAACATGTACTGTTATACCAAAACTACTTCACAGCAACATCCCATAAACCTTGGGTTCCCATAAACATTCCCTCTTATCTATCTCTTATTCATACAGACAAAACAGTTCATGAAACCCCACAAGCATGAGATTGAACAACAATGAAAATGCATAAGCTAGGGAAAATTAATAAGAAATATAAAATATACAAACATAATAAATGAATAAACATAAAAAATGAATAAACA